CTGGCAGGTGTGGGAGACACGAGCATTAAGGCACCCCAGCAACAGGCTCCATCCTCTGCCTAACATCAGCAAGCTCAGGAGAGGCTTGGTCCCAGGGACCTTGCTCCATTATGTACCCCAAGACATTGTCCCTAAACCATGCAAGAGCAGACTCAGGCCTGTCTCACACACTGGCAAAGCCGCTACCCCCCAGCTCAAACCAGGTAGTCAGGCTTAGGAAACCATCCTGCCTGCTGGTAATTAGCCATGTGACGTTAGAGAAGCAACTGTGGCTGTTTGGAATATGACTGTTCTGGAAGGACTTTTCTCCTCTTTTTCACTACCACACTCCCTCGAATGACTCACAGATCTCCACTTCCTGTTTTGGAGGCGCTGGCCAGCATCTAGCCACAAAGGTAAGCTGTCATTTGGCTTTTCTTTTTGCATTATGTCATTATTTGACATAAATGTCACATTTGTTCTTGCAAATGCTCTCAGGAAGTGACCTCACAACTTCTGTTCTCTTTATAATGACAGAATTACAATGCCTTCTGGTAATTTGTCAAGAATCAGAACAATTTATACAATGTCCATCCCTGGAAAGATCTTTGCACATTTACTGAATTTAAATGAATCTAAAAGCAGGAAAACCCTAAGTTTTATTATAAATGGATATACAGATAATATCACCAGACTTTCTTTTTTGTAATTTTATAACATCTCGCTTTTTTTTTAACCTTGATTTTACTGAAGGGTCAGAAGAGACAAAGGCAAGGTTGGTGAGGCCATGTACATTTTCAGCTCCTTGACCTGGTGCTGTGAGCAAGCTGTTCATCTCTCCACTCCAACCTCAATCTTCCTCTCTAAAAAAGGGACTGATGCTACTTTCCTAATCCTGCCGTGACCTTTGCAAATAAACTATTTAACTGAACACAGTGTAGTCCTCCAACTGAGGTAAATTAATTCCATCCTAATGCCATCTGGAATCCCAGAAGCAGTCATTAATTACACAGTGTCTTGCCCATAACTCAATACAAGAAAAGACAAAAAGATTTACCTAAATGATCTTTTCAGAAACCACTGCACATCCCGCAAGATCAACCTTACATACAGGGCAACATATTCTGCCTTTGAGAAATGAAATGATGCCCCTGACCCCCCATCCATAAAGGATATATTATGAGACATGAGTGCAAAGGACAATCGTGACATGTCCTAAGCACGTAACCCACGCTTGCCCAGTGACCAAAGGAATGGATTTAATTTCTTGAGCTAAACTGCCCAAATGCTTGTATATATGGTCCTTTAGCAGTCTCTCTATGTGGCCAGGTGCGGCGGCTCACGCCTATAGTCCTAGCACTTTGGGAGGCCAAGGTAGGTGGATCACCTGATGTCAGGAGTTCGAGACCAGCCTGGCCAACATGGCAAAACCTTGTCTCTACTGAAAATACAAAAATTATCCAGGTGTGGTGGCGCACACCTGTAATCCCAGCTACTCAGGAGGCAGAGGAAGGAGAATCAGTTGAACTCAGGAGGTGGAGGTTGCAGTGAGCTGAGATCGCAACACTGTATTCCAGCCTGAGTGATGGGAGTAAGACTCCATCTCAAAGAAAAAAAAAAAAAAAAAAGTCTCTCTCTCCATTGGAAAGGATGCTGGTTGGGATTAAAGGCCACTCTGTACCCAAGGAAACAAAAGAGGCCCCAGCTGCATTGTTCTAACAACCCAAGTACAGCCACCAACACAGAAGTCTTCTCCTCACCAAAATCAAAGTTTCCAAATCACTCCGTGGGGATCACTGGGCAACCATGGAGAAAGGACAGCTACTGACCTGATTGGTCCGTTTTTCTCCTTGGCTTTCCTCAGTCTGAGGCGTGGTAGAGGTCCTCCGTGCACCGTAAAAAATTCTACTTCCGGCAGGGGAGGCTCTGAAAACATGTTGAAAAGAAGAGAAGGGGTGTGATCGGAACAAGTAAAAAGCAGGACAAAAGAGGTCCTCGTGAGGGCTATTAAAAGGAAGTTTTAATTTCAGAAGCGAGGCGCCTATTCTGTACATGCCACCATGTGGATGATCATGCTAAGTGAAATACACCAGGCACAAAAGGACAGATTCTGTACCATTCCACTTAGATGAAAAATCTAACATAGGCAAATTCACAGAGAAAGAAGAGGTTGCTGGGGGTGGAATGGGGCATGTAGGGAATGGGAACATATTGCTTAATGGTCACAGAGGTTCTCCTTGGGGTGATGAAAAAATCTTGGAAATACACAGTGGTGATGGTTGCACAACATGCCAATAAACTGTGTGCTTCAAGATGTTAAAATGGCACATCTTATGTGTATTTTGCCACAATAAAAAGAAGTGATGAGTATACTGTGGCACTGGCAGAGGATAGATGTGGCGGGCATTACAGTTTGCTTGGTGGGTAGATTCCTATTTGGTGGGGAAGACCACCACATCAGCCTTCTATATCCTTTATAATCACAGAGCTCTCTGTCCTTATTTTCACGCTCCCAGCAACAAGATTTCCCAAATAGGTTTCCCATCAGGAGGAAACTACACTGACTGGCTGACACCAGCGTTCTTGCACCTCACTGGTAGTTAGTCATGGTATAAATGTGCTAACTGCCATTCTGCCTTGTGGGTAACATGCTAAGTAAGACATACTGGGCACTAACCATTCACACTAGAGGTGTTGTACATATGCCTCATCTTACTTAATCTCAACAGGGCTACCAAGTGGATGATGTTTGTAGAAGCAATCATTTGCTCCCTCTCGTGGGGTTCCTACCCATGCAAGGTAGGAACTTCTTCCCTCTCCAAAGTATTGGGAAAAGAGCTTGCACCTGGCCTTCCATCCATCCCTGTGATTTGTGAAACAGCTAGCTCCCACGTGGACCCATTCTTATTTTTTTTATTTTTCTTTCTTTCTTTCTTTCTTTTTTTTTTTTTTTTTGTGAGGTGGGGGGCTGCCTGAAGGCAGAACAGATGATTTCCCACCTTCTAGTCCCACTGTCCATCTCTAGGCAAACCTGAGTCAAGGTAAGCCTGAAGCCTGGTCTACATTTGCCCTATAGCCAGGGTTCCCAACCCCAGGTGGTGGACCAGTACCAGTCTGTGGCCTGTTAAGAACGAGGCCACGCAGCAGGAGGTGAGCAGCAGGTGGACAAGCATTCCCGCCTGAGCTCCACCTCCTGTCAGATCAGTGGCAGCATTAGTTTCTCACGAGAGCGTGAACCCTGTTGTGAACTGTGCATACAAGGTATCTAGGTTGTGCACTCCTTATGAGAATCTAATGCCTGGTGATCTGAGGTGGAACAATTTTATCCCAAAACCATCCCTCTACCCACCCCAGTCCGTGGAAAAATTGTCTCTGATGAAACCAGTCCCTGGGGCCAACAAGGTTGGGGACCACTGCACTATAGCTTCAACTTCCCCACAGGTGGGGCACAAAGTGTAGGTATGGGAGGAAGTTCAAGAAGCTTCATTTTGGCCAGGTGCAGTGGCTCATGCCTGTAATCTCAGCACTTTGAGAGGCCAAGACAGGCAGATCACCTGAGGCCAGGAGTTTGAGACCAGCCTTGCCAACACGGTGAGACCCTGTCTCTATTAAAGATGCAAAAATTAGCTGGGCGTGATGGCGCACGCCTGTAATCCCAGCTACTCGGGAGGCAGAAGCAGGAGAATCACTTGAACTGGGCAGGCGGAGGTTGCAGTGAGCCGAGATCATGCCACTGTACTCCAGCCTGGGTGACAGAGTGAGACTCTGTCTCAAAAAAAAAAAAAAAAAAAAAAAAAAAAAAGCCTCAGACCCAAACCAGTTTTACCAGCAATAAAACTGATTACTTTGATCCCTCTCTAACGTTTATGTATCTTCTTCAATTTCCCTAAACTCAGAGGTGGAACAAGTACAGTTATTATCTTAGAAAAACTCATTTTATAGATGAGGAAATTGATACATGAGAGATTGTTACTTGTCCAAAGGCCACACAATTAGCAAGTAGTAGAGTCAGAATTTGAACTCATGCTCTGCTACACACCTCTCTCATTCACCTTGGAGTATCTTGAAGATTTGGTTCTACCAATAGATCTGGCAAATTTCCATTAGCTTTGAGTGAATTAACAAACTCTACTTTAAAAACACTGGCCAGGGACCGTGGCTCATGCCTGTAACCCTAGCACTTTGGGAGGCAGAGGTGGGCGGATCACTTGAGGTCAGGAGTTTGAGACTAGCCTGGGCAACATGGTGAAATCCTGTCTCTATTAAAAAACACGAAAATTAGCCAGGCATGGTGGCACACCCGTGTAATCCCAGCTACTTGGGAGTCTGAGGCAGGAGGACCGCTTGAAGCTGGGAGCAGAGGTTGAAGTAAGCCAAGATCGTGCCACTGCACTCCAGCCTGGGCAAAAAAGCGAGACTCTGTCTCAAAAAATAAAAATACGGTGAAACCCCGTCTCTACTAAAAAAATACAAAAAACTAGCCGGGCGAGGTGGCGGGCGCCTGTAGTCCCAGCTACTCGGGAGGCTGAGGCAGGAGAATGGCGTGAACCCGGGAGGCGGAGCTTGCAGTGAGCTGAGATCCGGCCACTGCACTCCAGCCTGGGCGACAGAGCGAGACTCCGTCTCAAAAAAAAAAAAATTAAATAAAAATAAAATAAAAAATAAAAAAATAAATAAAAATAAAAATAAAAACATTGAATACCCAAAGATTTTACAAACCCATCAACTCCAAGAAAATGATCCACTTGCCACAATTACTGCAGAGTTAGAGGTCTACCCAGTGTGGCTCACATCAGAGAAGCTAGACTGCAGTTAACTGCAGAGATAGTATGATGTAGTGGGTAGGAACACAGGACTTAGGTTGCTATCCTGGTTCTATCACTTACAGCTCCAGCAGCCTCATCTGTTAAATAGAGGTAAAAACAACCTCTACCTCTGAGGGAATTAATGAGCCAACTAATAATGATTAACAATAATAGTTAATGAGTCCACACAAGTAAAGAGAATAAAACAGTGCCTGGAGCACAGCAGCCCTCGGCGCCTGTTGGCATCTGTATAATATCACTTGAGCTACTAGTTGCCAATTCTATGCTAGGAACTTTGCCTCTGCTGTTTCAACAAATCCTCACAGCAGCTCTGCGTGACAATCATCTCTATCTTATCAGCGAGGAAATCAAGGCTCAGGCCGGCTGAGTCACACCACTAGAAGACGGCCAGCTGAGCCAAGTGTGGGACTCAGGGTAATTTGACTCCAAAGTCTCCTTTGCTACATTGCCAGGCTATGACAATGCTTGTGTTCACTTTGCCTGAGATTAAACCATGACCTAGAAGGAGAAACCTGGAATTACAAATCCCTGAGGAATGAGAGACCTCTGTGCCATCCCCAGCCTGAGACGGTAAGGAACAGAGCTTGGGGGTCCTGGGGGTGTCAAACAACAAATATCTCTTAATTAGCAGGTTCAAAGGGAAGGGATGAATAGAAAAGAAAAAACTCAGAAATGACCCCAGGAGAGAGGTCATAGGGACAGGTTTAGCTCCTTCCCAACTTGAGCACACAGGAAATGCCATTCAGGGGGCTGTGACTTGTGATATAGAAAGAGGGTTCCTCACAGGACAGAGGGTGGCAACAGAAGCCAGGCAAAAGAGGCAGTGTCCCTAAGTCAGGGCTGGAGAGGCATTCTGCTGAATGCACAGGGGCTTGAAAGAAAACAAATGCGGAAGAGACCACGGAAAGCTGCAACCCTGTCATTGTGAAACTCCCAAAGATGGGACACCCTGTGCCTGAGATTCTCCGAGTTCATACACGTTGTCTTTTCATATGCTACATACTTTATATGTATGTGCTCAGCATCCCTTTTTCTGTGGAGAGCGGCCCTTCTCCTTCCCACATGGTTCTTATGGGGCCCGCATTCCCAGTACTCCAAAACCCCACTGGCCCAGGGCCCAGGGATCATGGATTGCCATTCCCCAGTCAGAAGAAGATGGCTCAAAAAGAGCAATCTGTTTAACTGTAGGAGACTGGAGGCTTTTTGTTTTTGCTATTTGTTTGTTGTTGTTGCTGTTGTTGTTGTTTTGTTGTTTTGGGTTTGTTTTTTTTTTTTTTGGAGATGGAGTCTTGCTCGGTCACCCAGGCTGGAGTACAGTGGCACAGTCTTGGCTCACTGCAATCTCTGCCTCCCAGGTTCAAGCAATTCTCCTGCCTCAACCTCCTGAGTAGGTGGGATTACAGGCATGTGCCACCATGCCCAGCTAATTTTTGTATTTTTAGTAGAGATGGGGTTTCACCATGTTGGCCAGGCTGATCTCAAACTCCTGACCTCAGGTGATCTGCCCACCTCTGCCTCCCAAAGTGCTGGGATTACAGGCATGAGCCACCACGCCAGGCCTAGAAGATTGGAGGGTTTTATTCTTCTTCTTAGATTGTAAGTACCAGGTAGGCCAACAGTACAATGTCCATCCTCCAAAGTCTGGCTGGAAGAGTTTGGCAGAAAGAGGGCCTCATGGCTGGAAGAGCAATGGGGCCGTGGTGACATCACGTGTGGCTGGAGCTTGCTGTCTCCAAGCGAGATCCATCCTTGGCCTTCCCAGTTCTGTGATCCCACAAATTCCACCTGCTTAAGCTGGTTGGAGTTGGGTTTCTGTCCCTTGCAACCGAAAGAGCCCTGACTATAGAATGCATCCAGCGCCTTGGTATTCTGTGGAAGGGCAGAACCCTCAGCTGTGTACTGGCAGGAATTCTGGTGCTAGGCCAAGTGGACATAGTAGGGAAGCGGTCCTTATGCATTTGTGTAAGAAGAATTGCTGTAATTCCAGGCACATCCTAAACCGCTTGGGTGGTGGAGACAGTGAGGACAGCAGGACGAACTGCCTTAAGAACTCCCTTTAGACCCTGGACTAAACCACCCCTCCTTCAAAGTCCATCACTGCATCAGCTCAGTAGGGCAAGGGAGGAAGGGCATGATGGAAGGAAAGAGAAAGATATATTAAAAATATATGTATGAATGCCTCCCCCATCCCCCCACCCTAGCCCTAAACCCTGCCACTATGAACCGAAGGACTCTGAGGCCAAAATAGATTCTCAAGACTGTATTTACCAGATTAGAAAATAGCTTTGGGGTAGAAACCCTCAATCTCAAATTATAATAAATAAAAACTTAGACCTGCCTGGACCTTTACAGTTGTTAAAAGCACTACCATATATATTATTCATATATCTGCATTCAACAAACACTCATTAGCCACCTCTGCCCAGGCTCTGTGCTAGGCTCGGGGAGACAATCACGGAAGACATGGTTTCTGCTTTCCGGGAGCTTGGAGTGTAATCATGAAGACAGTTTTATAAAGGTAGTGGTCAGAGCTGTGATGGAGTTATACACAGAGCGCTGTGGATGTGAGGAGCAACATCTAACTGAAGGCAGGGAGCTGAGCCTATCAAACATGGAAATAGACATCTGCAGAGGCATGAGGTTGCGGCAGGGAGGGACAGAACTACACGGAGTTCCTGGCTGAAAGGTTGAGGTCTGGCAGAGTAGAAGTAGGTGGTCAGGTTAGAGGGGTAGGTGTGGGTCAGATCTGAGAGATCTGAGGTTCTGGAAGTAATGAGAAGCCGTTTAAAGATTTTTAGCAGGCTGGGTGCAGTGGTTCATGCCTGTAATCCCAGCACTCTGGGAGGTTGACGCAGGCAGGTTGTTTGAGGCCAAGAGTTCAAGATCAGGTTGGGCAACATGGTGAAACCTCGCCTCTACAAAAAATTTTTAAAATTAGCCAGGCACAGTGGTGTGCACCTGTGATCCCAGCTACTCAGGAGGCCGAGATGGGAGGATTACTTGAGCCCGGGAGGTGGAGATTGCAGTGAGCCAAGATTGCACCACTGTACTCCAGCCTGGGCAACAGCTAGACCCTGTCTCAAAAAAAAGAAAAAAAAATTTTAGCAGATCTGCACAAAAATACAATTTAGAGAGCTGATCGAAAGATGAACAGAAAAAGGGCAAAAACACAGGTTGTCCAATAATCTAGGTCGGAAGTGCTTGAGGTCTGCTGCAAGTGACAGCACAGAGAATGGACAAGAGGGGACAAACGGAAGCCTTGCTCAAGGGAGAGACGGCAGGAATCTGGCAACCAAGTCAGTGGTGATGTCATTTACCAAGTCTTGGGGAAGACGAGCAGCAGCTCGCTTCTAGGTCCGTTCAGGCTGAAGTGTGTAAGGAATCCTCCAGCAGGCTGTTAGAAACGTAGGTCTGAAGCCTGGGAGCAAACCCTGTGGTGGAGACACAGAGGCAGCTTACGGGGAGGAGCGAAACTGGCCACCAGGGAGACGGTGTATCTGAGGACAGATGGGGGCCAAGGGCGGACCACCGAGAAACCCAGGCTTTAAGACCAGGTGGAGGAGGAAGAGAACTTTGTGGCCTTTATGAAACAGTGTTAAGTCTAGAATTTCTCCCAGGGTCTCTTAGACACTGCAGCATAGATCACGTTTTTCCTGAACCTGTGGGATTGCCAGGTGCCCCAGGAGGTCACCTGGAAAAGCCTCTGCTTAGAGTCTAGGCCTCACATCACTCGTTTGTTGAAATGAAAGTCTATGCTATTTTCAAGAGCAGTCCAGAGAGAGATTCCTTAGGATACAGCTGAGAAGACAACAGCTGGATTCCTGCGGCAGTGATGGAGGAGAGAGGAAAAGCCCCCACATGTGCCCTGGGAACATACCCCTTCCCTTTGAGATCTAACTGCCCTCAGGCCCTTTGCCATCACTGAAATGCCCTTTCACTTGTGATGTTTTGTTGTCACAGTAAAATTAACGTTTTCTATTACGTATTTCCACTTCTCAGCCCAGGTGGAGATTAACTGGTTACTCTTTTCTGTGTCACAACTCCGAGCAGCCCCCCGCCCGCCCGCCCTGCCTCCACTGGCTCTTTTAAGTTACTCCTCTTTGTTCTTCTCCAAGAGTAATAATTCTAGTTCCTCTAATCTCTTGGCTAACATTTTAAAACCACCCAGGAGCAGCAGAGCAAAGTGCTCACTGAGCTCAGAAGAGGCAATTGCAGACAGAGCAGGGAGGCCATCCCCCTGCTTGGTCCAGGTGACGTTGCTCTTTCCCAATCTAGGGTCACAGCTTTCAAGGCACCACGGTCATCTGGTTCAATCAACATGTGACTTTGAGACCATTTTCTGCTCTGTTTGCCTAAGGCCTCCCCACTTTATATTTTATTTTTTGTTTTTTTGGTTTTTTTTTTTGCTTTTTGAGACTGAGTTTAGCTCTTGTCGCCCAGGCTGGAGTGCAATGGTGCGATCTCAGCTCACTACAGCCTCCACCTCCCAGGCTCAAGCAATTCTCCTGCCACAGCCTCCCGAGTAGCTGGGATTACAGGCATGCACCACCACACCCGGTCGATTTGTGTATTTTTAGTAGAGACAGGGTTTCACCATGTTGGCCAGGCTGGTCCCAAACTCCTGACCTCAGGTGATCCACCCACCTCAGCCTCCCGAAGTGCTGGGATTATAGGCATGAGCCACCATGCCCCTGCCTTATATTTTAAACTGTCTACTTTTTCTCTCCAACGTACAAGCCTAAGTCTCATCAGGCTGGTTCTCAGTCACATTTTGAGGCGAAACAAACTTGACTTTCAGCTGAATTTTCCAAGGTGCTCTTCCTTGTCTCCCAAACTGATATCCTGGGCAGACCTGCTCTCCTTTCCATCAGCCTCGTTACTGATTTAAACTGAATTAGACCCAAGGCAAGAAACGGGTCCTGCCTGTGCTGGAAAGTATAGCTCTTTCACCCTGGGTGTGTGAGATGGGAGAGGAACCAGAAGAGAGACCTTCATGACCATTCTCGGATGTCAGGAATATCCATCCTCTGCTAGAAGCAAATGACAAAAGAAATTTCCACATGGGGGGAAATGTGGGGAAAAGTAATGAAGGAGAATTTACTCTGCAAAAAAAAAAAACATATTAAATGTATCATAAAATTACAACAATTGAAATAGTAAAGTACACGCACAGGACAGATAAAGCAGTCTAGACAGTCTAGAAATAGACCCAAAGAAATGTACCAGGTGGCGTGGATGGTCAGTATTTCCAAAGGTGATAGGGAACTGACTTACAGCTGGGGAGAAAAATTACCATGTAAATTTAGCCTTATATCAGACATCAGAATAAATTCCAAATGAACCTAAGTGGTTTTTTGGAGGGGTTTTTGTGTTTTGCTGGGTTTTTTTTAGGAAAGTGGTCTCACTGTGTGGCCCAGGCTGGAGTGCACTGCCATGATCATTGTTCACTGCAGCCTTGAACTCCTGGACTCAAGCAGTCCTCTCTCCTCAGCCTCCTAGAGCGCTGGAATTACAGGAATGAGCCACTGTGCCCAGCCCAAACCTTAATTTTAAGCGCAAAACAGCAGGTC